GACATATGCACATGCAGTGGTTTAGCGATTCAATTCAAAATGGCCGACTGGCAGCCATCTTGTTTTTTGAAAATGTTGTATTTTGGACATGCTTTGTCAGTTGTCATTCAAACTTGGTACATAGATTATACATGTTAGGATACATGTCCATGACGATTTATTTTGCAATTGGATCAAAGATGGTCGACTGGCAGGCATCTTGTTTTTTTATGCAATATCTTGGACGTGCTCTGTCAGTTTTCATTCAAATTTGGCACATACATGTACTTTATACATGTTAGGATGCATGTCCATGACAATTCGTTTCAAAATCTGGTCAAGGATGGCCGATTGACAGCCATCTGACTTTTTGACCTTACTACTATATTTCCACAATTTATGTACCATTTTCATTCGTATTTGGCACATACATCATACATATCAGTGTGTTTCATAATCAGATCAAAGATGGCTGAATAACGACTGTTTTTATTTTGGCCATATTACTATGACACGAAACACGTGTTTTGATGTAAATAAACAATCTGTTGTATATGCCACTTGGAACTCAAGTTTCAAGGACATGCTCACGACAACCCCTCCGCTTTAATATGACGAGCACAAAGAGAACTTAACAGGGACTGTGTCATTTTCAATGACTTGTTTTTTTTAAATCTGCTGGTGGCTTAGCTTCAATGCTAACAAAATGGGTTTAACTAAATTATGTGACTGGTCTACTGATGTCTCAAAAACCTCTCATCAGATTTCATTGAAACTTGGTACATAAATTCTGTTGCATTATTCACAGACCTGATTAGTTCTTGGTTGCAACCATGAATATTAAGTATTTATTTTGCATAATAATTACTGATAGCTAATTTGAAGTTGGGTTGAAATCCTTTTTGTGTGTAAGCTAATTTTGAACTGGTTTCTACCGCTGTGATTATATGTGCATCTCCCTCCATTCTATTCAACCAATTATATCTTTAAGGCAATGTTTTGTATGAACAAATTTGAATTTATGCCCATGTTTTAGAAACCATACCTACTTTTGCGAAGCTACACCCAAATTGTAGTTCAATTATCAGTCATAACCGAACTTTGAGTTTTGGGCAACATAGATGTTTTGTTTAACATTGTATATTTGGTTAACTGTTAATTGAAATTGAACGTTAAACAAAACAACATATCTATGTTCACTTTAATATAGGTAATACACAATATATTGCATATATTGATAGAATAATTTTACAATCTAAGTCTATTTAAAGTGACCATTCTTGGCCAAAAAAAATATGTTTTTGCCCGTTTTCAGCAATGCTTTGCTAATATTCATTCAAATTTCACATATAGGTAATACACAATGTTACATTTATTGATTGACACAAAAGTGTAGGGGGAAAATGAGTGCTTAAGCTTTGCATTGACCAATTTATTTTAACAAATGCTGCATAGCTTTGGTGCAAAGGATTATTCACATGTTAAGTGTGGTTTGCTTTGTATTATTCATGAGCAAATGACAAAGCATACAATAAATCTTTTGTATTTAGATAAATTAACTTTACACTGAGCGGTGTTACAGAATCTGATTCATCGACAGTAGGATAATCAACTTTCTTCATCAATTAATGGGACAGTGCCCTCAATGGCAATATTTGGAAATCAAAATGCATAAATTTTTAGTAGCAAGGGGGGCAGCTGGTACAGTTTTACGGGAAATAAAAGGAGCTTTTTACAATTTACAAGGAAAAAGACGTTTTTACAGTTTACAGTGAAAATTGATTGTTTACAGAGAAAAAGCTTATTTTACGAAAAATTAAAGAAGAAAACCTAGAAAATACTTGTACGTACCGAAAAAAATGGCACATTTTTACAGTATACGAAAAAAATATTTGATTGATTACATTGTATGTCTAGCCTGTGATTACAGATTCACATAATTTATTTTTTCAATTTACGTTGTACGAACAAAAAAATATTGCAATTATGTTGAACGAAAATAACCTTTGCCCCCCTCTATCTATGTAGGCATTGAAATTTGATGAAAATAATCATCAGTCTAGTTTTAGAGTAAATCATCTAAAATTCATACAGATTAGCCAGCTTATATATCAAGCTCACATGTAATCAAATTTCAGTTGTGCTGTCAAAAAAAAACCCACTGAATACATGCAAGTAAATGATAGTCGGTTCCAATGTGTTTGGCACAGACTGGTTTTACCGTACATACATGTAGTCTTTCATAATATACAAAACTTGTTCAATTTCTTGGAGTTGATTTATTGATAAATCCAATCAATTATGGCAGATATCGCTGCAATGCGAGTATAAGAATATCATAATAGATATTTTCCACACACTGCGAGATCTCGCGTTATGAGTGAAATCAAACGTAAAAACAGGACAAACAAAGGTAATAGCATCGTAGTGAATTCGACAAACTCAAAAGCATTTGGGGATATTTTCATGCTTAATAATGTGCTGTACACATTTGATTGTCAATTTCAATGAAGTAAGGGTAATCAAACGCAATATTTCCACTGTCAAAGATCGGCTTTTTGATGTGAGCTACGAAATTAAGAAGTTCAAAATCAAATCGTTCAATTTTTACGGCAGACGTTCGGCACACGTCTTTCACACAACTCGTGAGATCACGCAGTTTAATGGAAAATCATCATTTGCATGCATTATTCATTTTCTAATATTATTTACACATAAAGTTTCTGCCAGAACAACCAGCTATACTGTTATTTCTTTCGACCATTCAGGTAATGTCAGTACAGATAAAGACCATTTGCAACATAGTGACCAACTTGAGTAGTTCCAATACAATTTACATATAAAGTGACGTGTATATAAACGCCACCTTCCAAATATGTGATCAGTGGCTGTCCTTACAGAACAAGTTTGGTCAAAGGAATCTGTTGATACAAGGCAACAATGAAGGTAATTGATTGTATGTTTGGTGGTTACCAATAACATCAGTTTCTATCCAGGCAAAAATGCATATTTTTATTTATTTATTCAAAAACAAATAACTCTTTAAGCTGAGAAACTGTTGTCATATTTTTTATTCACAAATATATAAATCAACCTCAAAGGGGACCACTTTCTTTAAAGTGTGGTGGTTATCACACATGCACAAAATATGGGTCCTTATATACAAACAGAGATGTTGCGCAGATCCACAAGAACAAACAAGACACTACCAAGGTGTAACTAGATAATTCCTAGAATGATTGGAACACATTGGCAAATATTTTAAGAAATCAAACTTGTATTCTTGTTCTCCACTGAGTGGGAGCATTGCATTGTGGGAAAATCAATGTTTATCAACAACAATCTTGCACATACATGTTGGGACACTATACTTTGACTCCCAAATTATAACAGTATTTTTACCATAATCTACAAAGATTTAATTTTGAGAATTAAAATGTTCCATAGTTCTTTCATGATCACCTTAAAAACTATCAAATACTTAACATGTTAGAAATTTAAATTAATATTTTACCCCCATGTCTATTCAATTTGATTCAGTATTACAAAATATATAGAACATGAGCCCCCTTATAAACAGTACAGCACTAGAAATGAAAGGTATCAATACTACTTTATTTAAGACATTTAGTTGGAAGCCATAATTAATAATTATTCAAACACAACCGTAACCAGATACGTTCTGGATCAGACATACATTCATTAATTTACTTTTTAAAATGTAACAAAATATTACGAGTTTACTCATTATAAGGTAACCACAGTAATAAGCACAACCATAGGGGTTGAATGAATACAAATAAATCAAAGGCCATGGACTGGTAATTACAGCTTTATATATAAATATACCAAAAATATATAAAAATTCACTAGTTAGTCCACAAGGGTTTATGTGGTTATGATCAGTGAACAACATTTAAAACCACTTGTATAAATAGATGATATTTAAATTTCAAAAACACTTTGCAGTACTTTGGTAGGTGAGGGAATAATGACCAGAGTACTTTAATTATGCATACAGTCATTTGCGAAAATTAACTAAAATTAATTATATTTAGGAATACATTATTTTATGGAATGGTCATACATGAAGTACATTACACCGCTTAAAATAGTACCACCTTTTACAATAACAAAAAAATGTTATCCATTCTCATATTAATTTGTAGAAAACGAAAGTGAAGAGTACTACGTAGTGGCTGGCGTAATCCAAATTAGCCCATTTACTCAATGTATGGTCCATTGTATATCCCTGTAAGAACAAGAATATGTTTGAAAATAATTAAAATAATAGAAATTACATAATGTTTGGTTTGAATTGAGTTAGTTATACAATGTATTTTTTTTTAATTAGTTGCATTACAATCAATAAATTTTACATTGAAACGATAAATATATAGTATGTGCGAACTTAACAAAAATATAATCAAAACAAATTTGACTTTCATCACAGATTTTTGGAATAATATTTCATTAAACGTTGTTTGGCTGAAAATTGGAATACTCCAGAAACATTGAACTAACTAGGTGTTACAAAAAGAAGGTTTAGAATCAATTGACAATTAGAGTAAATGTAGAGACAATCAATGGTAAAGATCAATACCTGTTCTTCTGTCTGTGAACTACTGTCAAACATAACACCAAGATATGCTAGATGAAACACAGCCAACAATCCAAAACAAAAATTAACTATAAATACCAAAATAGAAGTCTGAAAATTAAATGAATTAAACATAGTTAAACTTTTAGTGAAACCTTCAGAGATATTATTCCATCAAATTTCAAGAAAGAAAACTCAGAAAATGGTACTTTGGGATGGTTGTTAAGACTCCCCTCAACAGTGTACCAAGATCACCCCTTGGTTGGTTGTTCAGGATTACTTCTTGGTTGAGTTTGTGTTGTTTTCTCAAATTTAGCTATTTTCACCGGCTCTTCAACCGGCGCTACACATCTGCTCGTGCAGAGCCCACAGAAATACATGGTACAGTGGTGCGTGTCTTAGCAACGTGGAACGTCTTGTGACGTAGCTCCGCCCCGAGGATACTGATAGCTTGGTCAAAACTAATTGGCCTTTGATAATCTGATTCTAAACTGTGAGGGCACTGTCACATACACATACACATAGATTTAATGAAATACTTCAAGGTGATAGTGGAGTGCTTTGCCACAACATTCACCTTGTAAATTCAGGAAAGTGGGAATAACAGACCGGTACCCAACCATATTCTTTAGACAAAATCACAAGTTCAAAAACACAAAACAATCGACAAGAACAAAATAAAACCAACTGACAAGTACACTGCATAGTCAAAGAACTCAAAAGAAATGACTGACAGTGATTGACAAAATATGACAGCGATACATGGTATACAGTCTGAATATGGTAATCAATTTGTTGCCCCTCACAGAAGGTATACAAAGTTAAGGATACTGTAGAACACAAATGCTGACTGTAAAACGATTCTCCATAGAATAAAGAATGATTAATATCCTGAATAACAATCACCTTACCTCTTTATTGCGATGTGCACATTCTGGTACACATTTCTTAGCAAGAACACAAGCACTGAATATCTCAGAAAGTCGCTTTCTAAAAACTAAAGATGGAAAAAATGTTAAAATGATAAGCGAACATGTCTACGAATGAACATGACAACAGACTATTTTTTTTGTGATTTGTTTTTTTATTTTTGTTTGATTGATTGAATGATTTTACATGACAAAAAATGTAATACAATGTACTTATTTCCTACTCCTACTCCTACTCCTACTCTTACTCTACTCTACTCTATTACTAAGCGATGAATACAATCATTCAAAATGTGTTGCAGATTAATGGTATTGGAATGGCATGATTGCATTATTCTAAAATATTTTAGCACCAACATGTCTGCCATCTAGCCATCTTGAATTGGGTCACGAGATGCATCTGCATATGTATGAGCGAAGAACAGCGCATTTCTTGAAATAAAATGGCTACCAGGTGGCCAGTTTTGAATGCGATTACTTTAACAAAATGAGTAGTATCAAGGTCCCATTATTTTCTATGTATGTACCAAGTTTGAATGAAATTTGTCTATACATGACCAAAGTAGTAAAAAGTGTTTGACTCCACAGATAAATCCCCAGTGGCATGTAGAGTGGATGAGATATGGAAACAATGACAATATAAGTTCACGCTAATACAGCTGGTTGTCTCTTTCTAAAGATTGGTATAACTACAGTATGGCAGGATAATAATTCTCACCATATTCGGTGTAAGAGTAGACTCCCAGTGATAAAAGAACTGCAGCTAACTGGAAATTCAACCCCTATGAAGTTAAATATAGTGACATCACAGTGAATACACAATAGCTTTATAAATATCACAAAGCCACAACATGGCTGTGTGAACATTTTAATGAAAAATCCTGATGTCAACCAGGCATTGTAAACTCAATCCCCCTTAAAGGTTTCTTCAAAGTTATATTGATTCATGACAGAATAGTATTAACCGAATGGTATATTCATAATACACTATTGTCACAACAGAATAGTATTAACCGAATGGTATATTCATAATACACTATTGTCACAACAGAATAGTATTAACAGAATGGTATATTCATAATACACTACTGTCAGGACAGAATAGTATTAACAGAATGGTATATTCATAATACACTACTGTCAGGACAGAATAGTATTAACAGAATGGTATATTCATAATACACTACTGTGACGACAGAATAGTATTAACAGAATGGTATATTCATAATACACTATTGCCACAAGAAAATAGTATTAACAGAATGGTATATTCACAATACACTATTGTCATGACAGAATAGCATTAACAGAATGGTATATTCATAATACACTATTGTCAAGACAGAATAGTATTAACAGAATGGTATATTCATAATACACTATTGTCACAACAGAATAGTATTAACAGAATGGTATATTCATAATACACAACAAAATAATATATTCACAATGCTGTCACCAGAAAGTGTTATAATCATATTAAACTGTATATTGACAGTATATACTATTCGGTCTCCAGAGTGTTATATTCATATACAACAAGGTATGGTACAGTAAAGACATCACAGAATGATAATACACAAATGTGTGAACAGTATATTGATAATACACACTGAGTGGTATATTGGTTATACTACACTGCATAATTTGGTACCCTAGATACACTACACTGTAACATGAGAAGGATATGTTGATAGAAATAACTCACATGTAAAATGGAACTAGTGGCATAGGTTAAGATAATGGCAGGGAATGATCCTAATGATCTTGTCGATTTGAAAATATCTGTAAGAAATAATGAAAACTGATAAAATTCCTGATGAACAAAAAAACACAGTGTTATTTTTAGGTATGATAAACTTATTACAACCAAGAAGGTGACAGAAAGAGAATTACATTGTGCAAACCACAGTCAAACAAAGCATAGTGCAAAAATCATGAAAATTTGACAGAGGCAGAGAGTGGTGAAAGAAATTGGTAAAAGAGACTGCATGTAAAAGAGATTGGTGGCAGAGGTGCCAGAGCGATGGTAGCAGAGAGTGATAGTAGAGAGTGGTTACAGAGTGGTGGCAGGGAGTGATGGCAGGGAGTGATGGCAGGGAGTGGTGGCAGGGAGTGGTGGCAGGGAGTGGTGGCAGAGAGTGGTGGCAGAGAGTGGTGGCAGGGAGTCGTGGCAGAGAGTCGTGGCAGGTAGTGGTGGCACGGAGTGGTGCCAGGGAGTGGTAGCAGAGAGCAATGGCAGAGAGTGGTGGCAGAGAGTGGTGGCAGAGAGTGGTGGCAGAGAGTGGTGGCAGAGAGTGGTGGCAGAGAGTGGTGGCAGAGAGTGGTGGCAGAGAGTTGTGGCAGAGAGTTGTGGCAGAGAGTTGTGGCAGAGAGTCGTGGCAGAGTCGTGGCAGAGAGTCGTGGCAGGTAGTGGTGGCAGAGAGTGGTGGCAGGTAGTGGTGGCAGAGAGTGGTGGCAGAGAGTGGTGGCAGAGAGTGGTGGCAGAGAGTGGTAGCAGAGAGCAATGGCAGAGAGTGGTGGCAGAGAGTGGTGGCAGAGAGTTGTGGCAGACAGTCGTGGCAGAGAGTCGTGGCAGGTAGTGGTGGCAGAGAGTCGTGGCAGGTAGTGGTGGCAGAGAGTCGTGGCAGGTAGTGGTGGCACGGAGTGGTGCCAGGGAGTGGTAGCAGAGAGCAATGGCAGAGAGTGGTGGCAGGGAGTGGTGGCAGGGAGTGGTGGCAGGGAGTGGTGGCAGGGAGTGGTGGCAGAGAGTGGTGGAAGAGTGGTGGCAGAGTGGTGGCAGAGTGGTGGCAGAATGGTGGCAGAGAGTGGTGGCAGAGTGGTGGCAGGGAGTGGTGGCAGAGAGTGGTGGCAGAGAGTGGTGGCAGAGTGGTTATAAATTTTCACAATTTATCATACCAGTTAGATAACCATATCTTATAAATGCTTAGTACTATAAATAATATTTGATTAATATCATATTTGCACTATTAAAATACATCTATATTAAAAGCACATGTAAACCGCCAAAGACGGCATGTGTTGTTTATTGTATTTTTATACCATACACACACCTATGTCATTTATTTAAGTACATATGCTACTGATGAAGCAAATAGGGAACATAATAAACATTAAAATTATCTATATGGTAACGCATACAGGTACTTACAATTTTTTAGAAAATTGTGCATAGGGATATTCCAATTTGTAACAACATCTACTAGTGATCTTGGCATCTCAATACTAAACGGCTTAGCAACATGTAAATCCCTGCCGTGAAATAACCAACATATATCTTGAATGCTAGTGAATCACACTGAGAACTTTGAACATTAAATACAGAAATAATTCAGATTTCCCTATAAGGACATAGAATACAGACTCACCAATTGTGTTGTTCAGCATTTACTGTGCATCCAAGCCCAGCTACTGTAGTACATGATTCGGACATAAAACTCACAAAATAGTGACTAAATCGGAAGGACAATGCATCCCGATATGCACCAAGCCACCTGTAAATAAATTAACAAAACTAGGGAATTCATTTCGTCTTTTGTTTTAGACAAATATAACAATCATAATGATTTTCCTTATAGTAAATAAAATTATATTGAGCCCACAGAAAAAATAACACATATCAGTTAAAATCTCACATTGACAAATTTAATTTTACTGGTAATAAATATGATGTTCAATACCAAATCAACAGATCACCTTTAAAATAAATTTATTCTTTAGTCATGCAGTAGACATGACACTTTCGTTTACACTAATCATTTTATGTTTTGGCATTGAACTAACCCAGTCAAAAACGACATTTGACCTCTCCACAAAATTCAATAGTTGAAGCATTCATGAGATGTTTGATTATGCCTGCATTTGTGGCTCTGCATCTGAACAATTTCCAGTCAAGACAATTATGACAGCAATAACAATGCAGTGCTCTTTTGCATTCTGCTTGTATGTATGAATGAATTAAGAAAAAATGTTATTGTATTAGTTTAGAAATCTCATTTCTAATTAGTTTTTCTATAAAATAAAAGTTTTCAATAAAATATTTTATGTTGTTTATGTTGTACATCAGTAAAATAGCTGTCCTACAAATTTAGAAAGGAAGTTTTGGGAAGGCCATACAAAATACAAGAGTTTGATATGCATGGAACGACTAATTTTAGTGATGCAAATGACGTTATTTTTTAAATTCATTAACTAAAAAATGTCATGTACAATAATACAGAGACTTCATGATGCTAAAACTTTTGACTACCACTTTAATTTGAAACCATCATCTGACAAGGATTAATTCACATATTGTAACTTTTGCTTTCTACGAATTACTTTACTTTCCAAAGTAGCAATACAATTTTCAAGGTACCGGTATATCAATATATTATGGCGTTAATTATTGATAATAAATATTAGATACCAATTAATCATTGCCTATGTAAATCGAATACTACATTTTGGTTTTAAAAAAAAAAATACGTGTTACTTACTTATTTGCAAAGTAATAACCACTTAATGCCGGAGAGACACATACTGATACCAGAAGACAAAATAAAGATGAAATTAAACTTTTGATAATTTTCCATAGCCATGACAAATTCTACATAGAGATAGAAATGAACATGTTATTCATACTAGCACTCAGATCACTCGGCAAGTCAGCCTCAATGTTATGCAAACTGGTGTGGTACGTATTGAAGACCTTATTTGAAGTCACGCAAATTGCAAGATGAACACAGAATGTACATTTCTAAAGATATTACTGCAAAAAAGTGTCTAAGTACTGTAAAATACTTTATTTTAGTTGAAATTAATTTTCGCTGAAAAGACTTTTTGGGTGTTTTGTATGGAATTTATTTTCCTTGATTTTTGATGAGTTGAATGTAAAATATAGGAAAAAATGTATATTTGGTAGATTTTATTTTCACTTAAACATTCCTTGAGTGAAAATCAATTCCAAGGGAAAATAAAGTACTTTACAGTAATTAAAGGTATTTTTTTTTTATATCAGGCTGTTTTTTTTAATCTGCTCTTTGTTCACAAGTGTGTACGGCATTGATACTGCCTATTTATGAAAACACAAAATTCATTTGAAACGAGATCTTCACTGCGCATCATTCGCTCATAAGTACAATAGCATAACTTTATCTTTACAGATTCATTTTAAATCTCAATAATATACACATACCATATTTGCTTTATTTGAAGCGCAACTCCAATATATGCACATATAAACCAAAACGACATTTGCTGTATCCTGAGTCATTAACATTTTTTTTTGTTCATATAGAAACAACTCTATACTTTATATAAGTGCATGCACTACTAATAGAACAAATAAAGTATTGAGTTTTGAACACGTACCATGTCTTGAGTGTCCTCTATTTGAATGTACTGTTCATAACTGATCCAAGGACCGAAAATAATAGAACCAACGAAAAAACAATATCCAAGGTAGGTGATTGGATTTGGCAATTCTTTGACGGTATCACGATCCATATCAATGCCTAAAGAAATTATCCTCATTGTCAGCATCATTTGGGAACCTACAAAAGGTATAAAAACAACAATCAAGGAATTAACGAAGAATAAATGATCAATACACCATTTATGAATTGCTTTTACTGTAAAGGGGGTAATTATTCACTGGGTTTTAATTTAGCTTATTTCGCTGACTGGAAAAATGCGCTAAATTAAAACACAGTGAATATGTAAAATTTAGCATAGAACACATTATCTAAATGATAAAACCGTGAATTTAAAACCCACTGAATATGCCTGAAATGGTAAATCAGTGAAATTTAAACCCAGTGAAAATTAGTCATTTTACAGTATTTTTTTTTTATTGAGTTATGTAATCTCCAATTATTCAACATTCTCACAACCAGAGCTTATTTCCGCTTTGAGACTTTGTGTATCGCAGGGAGGCCATAGTTATGACAATAATTTTTAACTGATTTGTACAAAGTTGAGCATTTCAAATTTATCTCACCTCGAATTTTATGCCACTCTCTGGGATCAGTTAACCATAATTCCCTGTAATAACAATAAATTTCAATGATATGTTATCAAAATATGCAAAGTAACTAATTATAAAACCATAAGATAATGTATTAATATGTATAAAAAGAATATGGTTTTAAATGGATCAAATATGCCTATGGATGGACACACATAACTTCCAATACTTCGCTATGCACAACAGAAAAGTGAAAACACAAATTACAGTGATATGTCTTACCATGTGACAAGCAGAAACAGCAAAACAGCCGCAACTATAGCACCTTTATTTTGTATGTGATTATGATGCAACACCATAAGAACCAAGTATCCAACAATTCCAAGAAATACCACATAGAGCATTGTCATTTCAAAAAACATGTACATACTACACAGACCACCAATCATGGCAGAGAAGTGAATGAATAGAACAGGCACTCCTGTAAACAGTGAAGATGTATCTGATTAGTATTCTGTAGAGTTCAATGCAATGAGGATGTATTCCAAAATATGATATCACCATAGTGTAAATTAATCTGAAATCTCACTAACAATATTCCATTTTTTTTTTTGCTTTTTCATGTCACTTTTCTTTTTTTTGGAAATAGAATAAATAAATAAATGAGACGGTATCGTAAATGTCCTACTAATCATGCTAAACGTTTTCATTATGCGTTAAAACAGTACTTGAATTCTGCGATGGTACTATTTTTATCACAGCGGTATAATAACATTTCGCTTGGATACCAATTACTGATGTGATCCATTGATGCTTAAAGAGCATGTCAAAATTTATGTAAATAAACAATGTATTTTACATGCGTTGTATACGTCACTATGAGTCTGATACCTAACAGGGTGCAGCATGACAACCACCACCCTTTAAACTACAAAACCATTGATATTCACTGGCATTTGATTCCACTACTGTAGAATACTTTTTCGCTTGGAATTTATTTTCGCTATTTTCGCTGAAGGGATGATTCCATGAAAATAAAATCCAGCGAATATACTTTTTTTCCTATATTTCACATTAAACTCAACAAAAATCAGTGAAAATAAATTCCATACAAAACACCCAAAAAGCCTTTTCAGCGAAAATTAATTCCAGCGAAAATAAAGTATTCCACAGTATTTCACTGAGTATTAAATTCATGAACTTGGCAGAGAAACAATGAGTTCTATTGTTCTTTTATTATTAATTAAAATTAATAATTATTAGAAACTAAAACCCTATGAATACTAATGCTGTACGATATTAATTAATGTATATGTAATTCTAACTGAAAGTTAATTTTGAAATGGTATTGCTAAGATAGTTATAAAATAAGATTATATCTTTTAAATGCCTGAAAGTTTCTATTGTCATAGCTGTATTGCCGGCCATCAACACACTTATGATGCAATAAGCATAAATTTTATCATCAGTTCGATCCTCTGTCAGATAGATAAAATGATAGAGAGACTGCGGTGCGGCCATCGCATGTGCGTCATCTGTCGAATCTCCCTGTTATAATGATACTTACCTGTAAACGTTACAAGTCGAAATGCCAGACATAACAGCAACAATGGTGCAACAATCTGAACACCTTGCTCTAAAGTTGGAATAACACATTCAATAAATAAATCTTGGTATGTCCAAGTGACTTCATTGGTAACATAGTCATCAGCATAGTACGGATAATCTCCCAGTTCATAATCAGCTAAATCTAAATCATAATCTGGATACTCATAATCCATAATGGGTGTGGTTGCCTGCAAACAAGAACATGTACCAAAGAATAATCTCATGAAATAGATCTACAGCAGAAATTCTCAATTCTGTAAATGTACTGGTGATAGAGGGCACTGCAGGAATGACATTCAGTGTATCATGTACTTGAACATAAATTCTGATATTTTACCAGTAATCCATATATACATGTCATAAAAAATATTTTACTTTAAAGGGTGGTGGACTGCACGTGTTTGAATTTCATGTAAACAAACAATGTATTTACACACGTTGTATACGTCGCTATGAGTCCCATATCGAACAGGATGCAGCGCAACGACCACTGTCTTTTAAGCCCTGTGTACATTCCAGGCGTTACATAATGGCGGTAAAGAACCTAGAGACACATACACATGGCTACTGTACTCCATGCATTCTTGTTGCCAAAAGGTGAAATATACAATGGTATACGGTGTGATTTTACATACTGAAATCACAACCCCTTTTTTAGTTATTTGGTTGAAACTATAAATGAAATTTGCACACATATCCAAAGTTTTTGTTTTGTTGTATTGTTATATAGAATTTGTATTGTTATCATAATAGCCACCACACCACCTCACCAACAGGTGGTCCAAATATCCTCCGGTAGAAAGAACAGCACTAAAACAGAATAAGGCTAATCCCTGCACACAAAGATTGGTAAAACAAAGGATTTATACCCACTTTTGCTTTGATAATAACACAAATCAATACAATATTATTCTTTGCAATAATGTGAAAATAACATTGTTATCACAAAACAACTTCATTTAGCTAGGATTTACTGATCGCATGATAACTAGTGAGAAAGCAGTAGCAATTCGGGCAGGGCTCCAGAAGGAGTACCGGTACCTACACTTTATGCAATTTTTTTTTTAATTATGCTAATTTATTCATGACGTAGCAGTTTCTGTGCTCATGAATATTCATTAATTTGTGGGTCAATACATTGTATAAGGGGCGATATATTATTTTGGGGGGAAGAGTTAGAAAGGGGGATCAGTAATCTATGGGGGGTCAATACAAAAGAAGGGACCCATTTGGAGTGCAGCCATCCTCCTCGTGTCTGTTGTTGCACGTGACCTACAGCTGTCAACTGTGTTCGTTCTTCGACAACTTCGACTGGCTTCCATGTGGGGTAGTATTCTTGTGTTCTGTTTTTCTGACTTGAGTTTTTGAATCCGCTGTTTATGTTTTTAACGTCTTTCAT